AATTTTCCAGCTAAATAATTATAGCGTAAACCAATTGATTTAAATGTTTGATAGCCATTGATAGCTGAGAGTAATTCAAACCATTTATAATCACTAATATTACGGGTGTTTAATACACAAATTAGTAACACTTGCATAATTATACCTGCTAGTGTAGCAATGTATACAAACTCTTTTAATTCGCAGGAATATTGTATTATTTCAAAATAATAAATGTTTAAATATGTGCCAGGTTTACTTTTGTATAAACAATATAAGTAACGAATTATATTAAGCAGTATTATTATAATAACTGCAAACACTTTACACTTTTGTACAATGAGTTGCTTTTTAGAGACATTTCTATGGTTTGCATCAAATCTATAAAATATCCAATACTTATACAATGGGTACTCAATATCCGACAGATTAATCATGGTCTATTTGTCTAAAGGTTTTAATAATGATTTTATTAAAAAATATTTTACTTTGTAATAAATTAGAAAAATATGTTTATTATAAAAATAAGTTTATAATACATCATTAGCAATTATATTATAGCAAAAATTAATTAATATGTTAATTAATTAATTATTTTAATTAACAAATAAGTTTTCTAAGCTTAAGTGCATTCATAACATTATGAATTAATTGTAAACCCATATGTACTAAATCCATAATTGATAAGTACTAACTTGTAAATGTAAAATAATATTAATAGTACAGTATAATAATTATTATAATAATATAAAATGAATTACGGTAATAAACATATAATTTAGCAAAATATTAATTAAAATATTTCCCACAAAACATTACACATAAGATAATTACAAATATTTTCACAAAATACTCAATGTTCGTAACAAATGCTAAAATAAATGTCATAATATTTTATTTTATCATAAATTTAAATTATGATATCTGTAGTGGGAATATGAAATAAACACATTGTCATATTTTTAGGTATCAATAGTAATCGAGAAAGATTAATTATAATCATCACACTACGTGGTCATAGTCATAAACTTTTAAGCTTAGCTTGCTTATTCATACAATTATATGATTTAATGTTCAAAATAGCACATTATGTTTGAGTATTTATAAGAAATTTTATAAAACAAGTTTTTGTTTTTTATTAGTTTTAGGTTTTGATTCATATATTTGTATGAATAAGCAAGCTACGTTTAAAAGTTTATGACTATGACCACGTAGTATGATGCTTATAATTAATCTTTCTCGATTACTATCGATATCTAAAAATATCACAATGTGTTTATTTCATATTCCCACTACAAATATGTTAAACATTGTCTTATTACTTTTCTATAAACATATTTAACATGTCATTATAAGAAATGTATTTTTGTGTAAATTAATGACTTTTTACGTGTATAATAAACAATTTTATCATACATTGATTTAATTATGCATACTATATATAAACTTCAATTATTGTAACATTTTCTCTATAGTCACACGAATTAAATGTATGATTGAATGAATTTAAAAACTAATTTGTAATCACTTTAAACTTATATAGATATAGCACGTAATCCTATGCTTTATAGCGTTCAAATAGTTAACTGGTGAAATTCATGTTAACTAGAAATAATACTTTACCCAAAATGCTGTACTTATTATAATACAATATTAAAATATATGATATTTGAGTGAAAAAATAATGTAAAAATCATTAGTTAATAATAACTTATTTTATAAATGATTAATTGGGTAAATGGTATCTATTTATTACATACAGAATATTCTGTTCATTATTCCCAAGAATTATGTAAACATGTTATGAGAGATGGCACTCGTGTTGGTGTTTACTATGAGTTCACTCACTATTTGTCAGACAATGTGTTTGTAAACAGTATTTGACATTAAGATGTTATATCTCATGCCATTTACGAGAAAAACTTTTTATTATTTAAATTGTTTTCAATTCATATGAAGTGATAGTTATTGTGTGAATACATACGCGAAACACCCGTTCAGAGTGTGTCACCACAATAGACACCATCACAGCACCGGTAGTCTCAGTGTCACCACAATAGACACCATCCGCAGCACCGGTAGTCTCAGTATCCATGCAATAGTATCGGTAAGTCATTAGTTAATGTGTTTTCTATGAATGAGTATTTAATTAATTGTTTATTATTTGTATTTAGGTTTGGATTAAGTCTTCAATGGATTGCAAAGTATTGTCTCATAAGTGGTGAGAGGAATGACCGCAAGAAGTAGTCATACAATGAATGCACAGAAAGTCTATCCGAAAGACTCTTTGGACCGATTGGGCGATGATTTGTGTCAACACTTATTGTCTTTCCTATCACTCGAAGACCGGTTCCGATGTGAATGTGTGTCCAAACAGTGGCAGAGAGTCGTATACGAGACACAAACAGAGCTCACAATTGATCCTCAATTGATGGGAAGCACTATAAGTGAGGAATCGTTTGAAACATTACTACAAAAGTGCGAAAACATCACAAGAATTGAATTCTTGTGTTTCAATGATCTGAACGACACTATCATCGACTCCATCGCCAAACACTGTCACCATTTGAATGCCATTTATATTGAAAACAATTTTGGTTTAAATGACTCGAGAATTGAGAGACTATTCAAACGGTTTGCCAAACAATTGAAATCAATTGAATGCCAAGACATGGGACCAAACAGTGGTGACCACAACTGTATCGCCGATAACATCAAGTTTTGCACACATTTGACACGACTTGGGAACAGTTTTTACAATAATATGCGTTTATATCGTGTGGTAACCGGCGATGAAACTGATGTGTTGTTTAAGAGATTAACATCTTTTCAGTTCACGTACTCTAATGAAGACGTCAAGTGTTTTGACGTATTTGTGAATCGCTATCAAAATCAGATGAAATCCATGGATGTGTTCATCGATGAGACGTCCGAAGACTTACTCCAGAAATCCGTTGATATACTGATGAGTGGTTTGTCGCGAATGCGGGCATTAATTGATCTGAAGATTCATTGCTCTGAGAAGACATTAAGCGATATAATAGCGGATCAGTTGAGACACATTGGCGCCAATTGTGGTCAACTGAGGCGGCTGTCCATCGATGTCTATATGAGAGGTCACGACTCGCGCCACATATCCGACCAAACATTGTGGCGATTAATGCAAACAATTAATGATAACTTTCACGGATTAAGACGTTTGCGATTCTCTGATCCCATACCCAAGCCTTTGACAAGTGATACGCTGAACACATGCAACAGATTAACAGCTATCAAACATTTAAATCAATTGGTTTACGCTATAATTATTTAGCTGGAAAATTTAGGCATAGAATTATGCTTTTAAAAAATATGACAAACAAACTACCAGTGTTAGTTGACACCTGTATTATATTAGAATTAATAGCAATTTTAATACTAAACTTTAATCTAGATAATATTATTTACGGTGTAGTAGCATGTTTTGTATTTTATCATGTTTATTATATGTATATGCGAGTCACATTATGGTTTGCATTTTACTATCAAACAGTTTGCTATTATATAATATATCGCATAAAAAATTTTAATATTATTTTATCAAAAATAAATTCCAAAAAATTATTTTTTAAAACAAAATGTATAAATAATGTTACATTAAATCACAACAAACTATGTTTGGACATTGAATTATACAATAGATTCTGGAAAAATATTTATATCGTATATTCTTATGGCTTAATACCTGTTTGTGAAATAGTGTTGAGTTTATTATTATTTGAGAAAATGTTAATAAATACGAGAATATTCTTGACATCATTTCTAGTCGTATATCTATTATCTCTGTTTGCATTAAATTGGATAACATCTGAGATTTATATTCAAGTTTCGAAAACTTATAAATCATTAACTGATTTGTATATTACTATTAGTAATTCAAGAATTATTAACCATAAACTTAAGGTTAGAAATTAATTTTTATAAATATTTAAAAAATATTTTTTATTTTTACAGTTAATGGTATGTATGGAGAGAGTGAGCGATAGAAACCGATTGATAGGCTTTTCGTGTAGTAATCAATACGTTATCACAAGAAATATTGCTTTCAAAGTAGGTATCCCTTAATCTTAATGATTTTTATTTAATAAAACTTTAATGTATTTATTTTTAGATGTTTGTTATATTCATTCGTTTCATGTTATTGACACATAAATTAAGTAATAATTTTAAGACATAATAATTATTATCCGAATAAAACAATATTGATCAATAAAGTAAATTATATATATTTATGTGCATTAATAGTATGATAAATAGGATTCAAGAAACTTATAAATTAGTGGTAATTAAAAATAGCAACAAATATTTAATTAAATATATACTGATATATGCACTGTATTTGCACTTTATAAAATATATTTTGTGTATATACTATATTTTGTATAGATATATTTAGCTATGTTAATTGTTTGGTACTTATGTTAAAATAAATTAATATAATTAGCAAGTTTATTAAACTGGTAACATAGGTAACAAATAATATTTTAATAAAATTTATTTATATATCATAAATTAAAAATATCATTAAATATTTAATTATATATATTCGCACATTATAAAACATTAAGTATTTTGTATAGATATACTGTAGTATGATATTAGATATTTAAATTTTCTGTTAAAAATATCATTAAATGTATTTCAATATTGTATAAGAAATTTTAATAATATATTTAAAATATGATTAATCCGTCGGATATTGAGTACCCATTGTATAAGTATTGGATATTTTATAGATTTGATGCAAACCATAGGAATGTCACTAAAAGGCAACTCATTGTACAGAAGTGTAAAGTGATTGCAGTTATTATAGTAATTATAATGAATATAATTCGTTATTTATATTATTTATGCAAAAGTAAACCAAACAAATATTTAAACATTTATTATTTTGAAATAATACAATATTCCTGTGAATTAAAGGAGTTTGTATACATTGCTATAGTAGCAAGCATATTTATGCAAATGTTACTGATTTATGTATTAAATACGCGTCATATTAATGATTATAAATGGTGTGAATTACTCTCAGCTATCAATGGCTATCAAACATTTAAATCAATTGGGTTACACCACAAGTATCTAGCTGAAAAATTTAGGCATAGAATTATGCTTTTTAAAAATATGACAAACAAACTACCAGTGTTAGTTGACACTTGTGTTATATTAGTATTAATAGCAATTCTAATACTAAACTTTAATCTGAATACTATTATTTACGGTGTAGTAGCATGTTTGGTATTTTATCATGTTTTTTATCTGTACATGCGAGTCACATTATGGTTGGCATTTTACTACCAAACAGTTTGCTATTATATAATATATCGGATTAAAAATTTTAATATCATTTTCGCAAAAATAAATTCCAAAAAACAAAATACAAAAAGTTTATATAAAGTTGTATTGAATCACAATAACCTATGTTTGGACATTCAATTATACAATAGATTCTGGGAAAATATTTATATCGTATATTCCTATGGCTTAATACCTGTCTGTGAAATAGTGTTGAGTTTATTATTATTTGAGAAAATGTTAATAAATACGAGAATATTCTTGACAGCATTTCTAGTCGTATATCTATTATCTCTGTTTGCATTAAATTGGATAACATCTGAGATTTATATTCAAGTTTCAAAGACATATAAATCATTAACTTATTTGTATACTACTACTAGAACTTTAACATTAATTAAAGATAAACTTAAATATTATCTCTGTTTGCATTAAATTGGATAACATCTGAGATTTATATTCAAGTTTCAAAGACATATAAATCATTAACTTATTTGTATACTACTACTAGAACTTTAACATTAATTAAAGATAAACTTAAAGTAAGAAATTAATATAATTTCATTTCATAAATTTAAAAATATTTAATCTTATTTTGACAGTTAATGGTATGTCTGGAAAGAGTCGGCGATAGAAACCGATTGATAGGCTTTTCGTGTAGTAATCAATACGTTATCACCAGAAATATTGCATTCAAAGTATGTATTCACTCATAATTATGTTTCAATAATAATTTATTTTGAATTTTCATTTCCAGATGTTTTTAATATTTCTTCGCTTTTTAATATTAACTCAGAAATTAATCGCTAATTTTAAGACTGCATAAGAATAATGAATAATACATTATTCATAATAATAATGTTAACCTTAGTGTACATTATTAGTTTAGTTACTTGTTAATGTTTAGTATGATAGTTAATTTAGTATTAAATAAATGAATTATTTTGAACAATCATAATAAAATTAATCGATAAAGTAAATTATATATGTTTTTGTAAAATTATAAATTAGTGATAATTAAATAAATATAACAATAAATATTTAGTTTAGTTCAATGTATTCGCATATTATAAAATATTATAAATTTATATTTTGTGTTGTTTAATACTCATATTAAGATACTTAGCAACATCATTAAGCTGGTAACATTTGCAACAAATAATTTATTAATAATAATTATTATATATTGTCTGTTAAAAATATTATTAAATTTTATTTAATATAACAAAATTTAATAAAATATTTAAAATATGCTTAATCCGTCAGATATTGAGTACCCATTGTATAAGTATTGGATATTTTATAGATTTGATGCAAACCATAGGTATGTCACTAAAAGGCAACTCATTGTACAAAAATGTAAAGTAATTGCAGTTATTATAGTAATATTGCTTAATATAATTCGTTACTTATATTGTTTATACAAAAGTAAACCAGGCACATATTTAAACATTTATTATTTTGAAATAACACAACATTTCTGTGAGTTAAAAGAGTTTGTATACATTGCAACAGTAGCAAGCATATTTATGGAAATGTTACTGATTTATGTATTAAACACGCGTAATATTAGTAATTATAAATGGTGTGAATTACTCTCAGCTATCAATGGCTATCAAACATTTAAATCAATTGGTTTACGCTATAATTATTTAGCTGGAAAGTTTAGGCATAGAATTATGCTTTTAAAAAATATGACAAACAAACTACCAGTGTTAGTTGACACCTGTGTTATATTAGTATTAATAGCAATTTTAATACTAAACTTTAATCTAGATAATATTATTTACGATGTAGTAGCATGTTTTGTATTTTATCATGTTTATTATATGTACATGAGAGTCACATTATGGTTGGCATTTTATTACCAAACAGTTTGCTATTATATAATATATCGCATTAAAAATTTTAACATCATTTTAACAAAAATGAATTCCAGAAAACAAAATACAAAAAGTTTATATAAAGTTGTATTGAATCACAACAAACTATGTTTGGACATTCAATTATACAATAGATTCTGGAAAAATATTTATATCGTATATTCTTATGGCTTAATACCTGTTTGTGAAATAGTGTTGAGTTTATTATTATTTGAGAAAATGTTAATAAATACCAGAATATATTTCACCGTATTTCTAGTCATATATCTATTATCTCTGTTTGCATTAAATTGGATAACTTCTGAGATTTATATACAAATTTCAAAGACTTATAAATCATTAACTAATTTGTATACTACTATTAGCACTTCACTATTATTTAAAGATAAACTTAAGGTTAGAAAATAATAAAATTTAATGATACAAATTTTAAAAATATTAAATTTTAATTTAATAGTTAATGGTATGTCTGGAAAGAGTCGGCGATAGAAACCGATTGATAGGCTTTTCGTGTAGTAATCAATACGTTATCACCAGAAATATTACATTCAAAGTATGTATCCATACATATATTTTATACCGTAAATAATTATGGAATTATTAATTGTAAATTATTTTGAATATTATTTTCAGATGTTTTTAATATTTCTTCGCTTTCTAATATTAACACAGAAATTAATCGCTAATTTTAAGTCTACATAATAATAATACTTTATTCATAATAATGATCTTGTTTTTAGTGTACTGTACATTATTGGTTTAGCAATTTGTTAATGTTTAATTTGATATTGAATTAAATATTGTATTCATTAAATGACTTTAGTCCAAAATAAATAAAAATGCAATATCATACATTTAATAATTATCAGAATATTTTAAAGTTAATAATCAAAGACAAAACTCTAAAAGGGGAATGAATTAACGATATATTTATAATTTTAAGATATTATTCTGGGTAGAAAAATTTATAATAATTTACAGTATAAAATATATTATTTTAAAGCATATATAGATTTGATTATAATTTATAAATAAAAACTTATCATTCATGCATTTTCTAATTAACCTATTATATGGAATAAAAGTAATTACTAAATTGAATAACAATGTAATAATAATTTAACATTATTCATTTAACATAATTATTATTTCTATAAATATTAATATTATTATTAATATTTATTATTATTATTATTATAAATTATTATTTTTATATTAATACATTATTATACTGTATACGTACAGTATGTTAACAGTACAGTGTAGTAGTAAAGTATAGACTATGAAAATTACGCATTTGTTTTAGACCGCATATATAATCCACAATAATTTATTTAATATAATTAATTTTAACTAAAAATATGCTTAATTCGTCAGATATTGAGTATCCATTGTATAAGTATTGGATATTTTATAGATTTGGTGCAAACGAGAGATATGTCACTAAAAGGCAGTTAATTATACAAAAGTGTAAAGTGTTTGCAGTTATTCTAGTAATAGTGTTGAATATAATTCGCTATTTATATTGTTTATATAAAAGTAAACCAGGCACATATTTAAGCATTCACTATTTTGAAATATTACAATATTCAAGTGAATTAAAGGAGTTTGTATACATCGGTTCAGCAACAGGCATATTTATGGATTTGTTACTCATTTATGTATTAAACACCCGTAATATTAGTGATTATAAATGGTTTGAATTACTCTCAGCTATCAATGGCTATCAAACATTTAAATCAATTGGTTTACGGCATAAGTATTTAGTTGAAGAATTTAGTAATAAAATTATGATTTTTAAAAATATCATAAATAAACTACCAATATTATTTAGCACATGTGCTATATTAATATTAGTAGCAATTCTAATACTAAACTTTAATTTAAATACTATTATATATGGTGTAATAGCTTGCTTTGTTTTTTATCATATTTACTATCTGTACATGCAAATCACATTATGGTTTGCATTTTACTATCAAATAGTTTGCTATTATATAATATATCGCATTAAAAATTTTAACATCTTTTTATCAAAAATTAATTCCAAAAAATTATTTTTTAAAACAAAAAGTTTAAATAATGTTGTATTGAATCACAACAAACTATGTTTGGACATTGAATTATACAATAGATTCTGCAAAAATATTTATATCGTATATTTTTATGGCTCAATACCTGCTTGTGAACTAATGTTGAGTTTATTATTATTTGAGAAAATGTTGTTAAATTCCAGAATATACTTAACCGTATTTCTAGTCATATATCTATTATCTCTGTTTGCATTAAATTGGATAACATCTGAGATTTATATTCAAGTTTCGAAAACTTATAAATCATTAACTCATTTGTATATTACTATTAGTAATTCAAGAATTATTAACCATAAACTTAAGGTTAGAAATTAATAAAATCTTATGAAATACAATTTAAAAATATTTATTTTTATAGCTAATGGTATGTCTGGAGAGAGTGAGCGATAGAAACCGATTGATAGGCTTTTCGTGTAGTAATCAATACGTTATCACCAGAAGTATTGCTTTCAAAGTAGGTATACCTTAACCTAAATTATTTTAATTTAATAAAATGTTTTAATTTTCAGATGTTTGTATTATTTATTCGTTTCCTATTATTGACACATAAATTAAGAGATAATTTTAAGACTTAATAATTATTATCTGAATAAAACATTAATCAATAAAATAAATTGTATATGTTTATATAAACTAACTTATAATAAATAGGTTTCAATGTTCAGTAAACTTATCAAATATTGTTAATTATTCAATTATATATTGTACTAATAAAATATATTCTGTGTATATACAGTGTTTTTTGTATAAATATATTTATCTATGTTAATTGTTTAGTACTGTATTCATGTATTAAGTATTTTAGTTTTAAGTATTTATTTTAGTATTAAGTATTATGTTTAGTATTAAGATAATTAGCAAATATCATTAAGCTGGTAACATTGGCAACAAATAATTTATTAATAACAATTATTGATATATCGTCTGTTAAATATAGTATTAAATGCATTTCAATACTGTATAACAAAATTTAATAAAATATTTATAAATATGATTAATCCGTCGGATATTGAGTATCCGTTGTATAAGAATTGGATATTTTATAGATTTGATGCAAACCATAGGTATGTCACTAAAAGGCAACTCATTGTACAAAAATGTAAAGTATTTACACTAATCGCTATACTTGTGACTGATTTGTTAAGACAACTATTTTATATTTACAAAAGTGAACCAAACCAACTATTACCTATGTACTATTTTGAATTAACACAATATTCTGGACAATTAAAAGAATTTGTATATATAACATTTGTATTCGGTAGAATTACTATATTATCGTTAATTTATTTGTTAAATACCCAGGCTATTACGTCTATTCATTATAAATGGTTTGATATAATCTCAGCTATCAATGGCTATCAAACATTTCAGTCAATCGGTTTAAGGTATAAGTATTTGGCCGAAAAATTTAGAGATAAAATTATGGGTTTAAAAAAGATAATTAAAATCATGTTTCTAACATCTGATTTGTTCTTGGTGATACTATGTACCGCAATGTTAATAATATACTTTGATAAAACTACTATTGTTTATGGTATTATAGCCTTTATAATGATTTTCCCGGTATATTTCCCATTCATGAGAATTGCATTATGGGTTTCATTTTATTATGTAATAGTTTGCTATTATATTATTTATCGCATAAAACATATTAAAATTAAACTAACAAAAGTTAACTCAAATAAAGTTTTTCATAAATTAAATTCATTGAATAAAATATCAATTAATTATAATAAACTCTGCTTTGATATTGAAATGCATAACAAATTCTGGAGTAATATTTATTTCGTATACTTTTATGGATTAATACCAATCTGTGAACTGTATATGAGTTTACTATTATTTGAAAATCTTTTACTTAATACCAGAATATTCTACACTATATTCCTAATGGTGTTCCTATTATCGCTGTTTGTGTTAAATTTAATTATATCTGAGATTTATATCCAAATATGCAATACATATACATGGTTGCATAGATTTTATATATCAATTAATAATTCTGTAAATATTATCCACAAAATAAAGGTTTAGTATATATTTTTATAGATTCTTGTCATTGATATTAAATTATAGTTTTATTTGACAGTTAATGGTATGTCTGGAAAGAGTTGGCGATCGAAACCGATTGATAGGCTTTTCGTGTAGTAATCAATACGTTATCACCAGAAGTGTTGCCTTTAAAGTATGCATTCATTAATAATTTTAATTTTAAATTAATTCAAATCAATTTTAATGGATATTTACTTGATTTTCAGATGTTTGTTGTGTTCATTCGTTTCCTATTATTAACAAAGAGATTGAGTAATAATTTTAAATCTTAATAATTAAAAATATATTATACTGGTTCTGTATTGCTGTTGATATTGCTATATTTAAATAGGTTTATGTAAACTTTATAATTTTTTAAATATATAATTAAATGATATATCGATTTTGTATTTATATTGTATTTTATACTCATTAGAAATATGTTCATTAAGTCTAGATATAGAGTATTTTGTATAAATATATTGCTATATTGCATAATAATAAGTACTTACTGACCATTATTAATATAATTAGCGGAATCATTAGTAGCCTTGGTAACAAATAATTTATCAATAACAAAGTATCCATATAGACAATATTAACTATCAGAAATTTAAATAAAATACAAATCAAATCCTAAAACATGTTTAATCCGTCGGATATTGAGTATCCATTGTATAAGTATTGGATATTTTATAGATTTGATGCAAACCATAGATATGTCACTAAAAGGCAACTCATTGTACAAAAGTGTAAAGTATTTACACTAATCGCTATTCTTGTAATGAATTTTAGCCGATATTTATTTTATTTGTACAAAAGTGTACCTGACAAACGACTACCTGTTTATTATCTTGAAATAGCACAATATTCCGGTGAATTGAAAGAGTTTGCATATATCTCAATTGTATCAGGATCAATTACTACATTGTCGCTAATTTATTTATTAAATACGCGATCTATTAATACATGTGATTATAAATGGTTTGATATAATCTCAGCTATCAATGGCTATCAAACATTTCAATCAATCGGTTTACGGCATAAGTATTTAACAGAAAAATTATTGAATAAAATTTTATTTTTTAAACAATTAATTAAAATTGTATTAATTACAGCTGATGTGTGCATGGCGATTTTAATGATAGTTATTTTAAAAATATATTTTAATAAAACTAATATTACTTATGGTATTATAGCCGTATTAGTGTTTACTATTCTGGGATATTTCCAAAACATGAGAATTGCATTATGGGTTGCATTTTATTATGTAATAGTTTGCTATTACATTATTTATCGCATAAAGCATATTAAAATTAACCTAACCAAATTTAATTCTAGTAAAGTTTTATTGAAACTTAAATTGTTAAATAAAATAGCGATACTTCATAATAAACTTTGCTTGGATATTGAAATGCATAACAAATTCTGGAGTAATATTTATTTTACATACTTTTACGGACTAATACCAGTCTGTGAACTGTTTATGAGTTTACTATTGTTTGAGAATCTATTACTCAGTACCAGAATATTCTACACTATTTTCTTAATGGCATTCTTATTATCCCTGTTTATATTAAATTTAATTACATCTGAGATTAATATCCAGATATGCAATACATATAAATGGTTACATAGATGTTATATATCTATTAATTATTCTGTAAATATTATCAACAAAATAAAGGTTTAGTATATTTAATGAAAGTTTGATAAATGATTTTAAAGTATATTTTGTCAGATAATTGAATGCATGGCTCGTGTGAGTGATAGGAACCGATTGATAGGCTTTTCGTGTGGAAATCAATACGTTATCACCAGAAATATTGCTTTCAAAGTAGCTATTCCTTACCCTTAATTATTTTTATTGAATATAATTTTAATGTTTTAATTTTCAGATGTTTGTTATATTCATTCGTTTCCTATTATTGACACATAAATTAAGTGATAATTTTAAGACATAATTATTATTATCCAAATAAAGCAATATTAATCGATAGAGTAAATTGTAACTTATATGTTCATATGAATTATAATAAATAGGTTTCAGTACACTTATCAATTAGTGTTAATTAAATATAGCAATAAATATTTAATTCAATATACTGTATTGTATTCGTACATTATAAAATATAAATATATTCTGTGTACAGTATATACAGTATTTTCTATAGATACATTATCTATGTTAATTGTTTAGTACTGATATTAAGATAAATTAATATAATTAGCAACATCATTAAGCTTGTAACATTGGTAACAGATAATTCACTAATAATAATTATTCACATACTGTATGGTCTGTTTGAAATATAGTAGTATTAAATGTATTTCAATACTGTATAACAAAATTTAATAAAATAAAAAAATATGATTAATCCGTCGGATATTGAGTATCCATTGTATAAGTATTGGATATTTTATAGATTTGATGCAAACCATAGGTATGTCACTAAAAGGCAACTCATTGTACAAAAGTGTAAAGTATTTACATTAATCGCTATACTTGTGATAAATTTTAGCCGATATTTATTTTACTTGTACAAAAGTGTACCTGACAAACGACTACCTGTTTACTATCTCGAAATAACACAATATTCCGGTGAATTAAAAGAGTTTGCATTCATTGCGATTTTATCAGGAGCAATTACTATATTGTCACTAATTTATGTATTAAATACTCGATCTATTAATGCATGCGATTATAAATGGTTTGATATAATCTCAGCTATCAATGGCTATCAATCGTTTCAATCAATTGGTTTACGGCATAAGTATTTAGCGGAAAAATTATTGAATAAAATTATATTTTTAAGACTCATGATTAAAATTGTGTTAATAGCGGCTGATGTGTGCATAGGGATTTTAATGATAGTTATTTTAATAATTTATTTTAATAAAACTAATATTACTTATGGTATTATAGCCATATTAATGTTTATTTATCTGGTATATTTCCAATTCATGAGAATTGCATTATGGGTTGCATTTTATTATGTAATAGTTTGCTATTACATTATTTATCGCATAAAGCATGTTAAAATTAACCTAACCAAAATTAATTCTAGTAAAGTTTTATTGAAATTAAAATGGTTGAATAAAATACCGATAATTCATAATAAACTTTGCTTGGATATTGTAATGTATAACAAATTCTGGAGTAATATTTATTTTGTATACTTTTACGGATTAATACCAATGTGTGAACTGTTTATGAGTTTACTATTGTTTGAGAATCTATTACTCAGTACCAGAATATTCTACACTATTTTCTTAATGGCATTCCTATTATCGTTATTTGTATTAAATTTAATTACATCCGAAATTAATATCCAAATATCCAATACATATAAATGGTTGCATAGACTTTATATATCTATGAATTATTCTGCAAATATTATCTACAAAATAAAGGTTCAGTATATTTTTAAAAGAGTCTTATAAATGATTGTAAATTATATTTTGTTAGATTATTGAATGCATGGCTCGAGTGAGCGATAGAAACCGATTGATAGGCTTTTCGTGTAGTAATCAATACGTTATCACCAGAAGTATCGCCGCAAAAGTAATGATCAATTCATATATTTTATTTAATTAATGTCATTTAAAATGTGTTTGGTATTTTATTTTTCAGATGTTTTTAATATTCATTCGAAACAGTTCACACATTGGTATTAATCCGTAAAAGTATACAAAATAAATATTACTCCAGAATTTGTTATACATTACAATATCCAAGCAAAGTTTATTATGAATTATCGGTATTTTATTCAACCATTTTAATTTCAATAAA